CACAGGACACATAAATGCACACACACAGTATATAGACACATACACAAATACACACAGAAGCACGTCATCAATACCTCACACAACCAAACCCACCCCAAGATTATCATTCTGCACTTACGAATAAATATCCAAACGTCCTTCAGCTTGTGAAGTTGCAGCCTGATCAGTCAACCAGACAACCAGTCAACCAGACAGCGCATTGGTCAAAATGTCTATGAGGATCCTGTCCATCACTCTCCTCCTGTTCTTAGTGTGTCTGTGCTTCCAGGCCTCTGCAGGCAACCGTAAGTACCAAATAATTACCAAATTATACTGAGTCAGGCATTTCATTTCTCACTTCAGTCAAACAGATATTAAAATATCTTTTTTTATAATCAATCATGTTTCACTATTGAGCTGGTGCTACATTATTGTCTTCCTGCTTTATTTTGCACAACCTTGATGTAGTCTATTTGTCTTCCATCTCGATCTCCTTTCATGTTGGCCTCTATGTGTGTTACGTTTGGTATCATTAGTATATTTACGTTCTGGTGTACTTATTGTAGTCATTTCATATAGGATATTTTGCAAATTTTGAAGGGTAAAAGCTGTAGATTTTAATCTATTTTCTAGAATAAATTACAGGTAATTTAATGGACCTTTATATATTCAGGGTTAAAGAATAGTTTACTTGGGTGCCCGGTTAGCTCATTCGGTAGAGCTGGTAACCCATATACGCAGTGGCCCGGGTTCGAGTCCGACCTGCGGCCCTTTGCTGCATGTCGTCCCCTCTCTCTGCCCCCCTTTCCTGTCTCTCTCCAGCTGTCACTGTCAAAGGCATAAAAGGCCAAAAAAAAAATACTTCCGTGCAAAACAGACAACTTTGTTTTATTTAGTAGTTCAGGTATGACAAATAGTTTGGATGCAGGTAATTTTGTTCTTAATGCAATGCAGACCTGTAGTATAAAGGAAAATACCAGTATTGATCAGGACTTGGGAAATGGGGATTTGGGCCTAAAAAAAACGTCATCAGGACATACTGACTGTGGTATCAAAGTGGGTTTTAAAAATCCAAAATTCAAAATCTACTTTCTACTACAAATAAATATGCTCTATCCATCTCTCATGTTCTCTGTTCTTGTCAGGGCGCCTTGCTGGCAAACGCCGACCTCCTTCTCCATGCTGCGTTAAGTTCACCACTGAAAATATCACCAATGATGTGACTGTGAACACATATAAAAAACTGACTGCATCTGCTGATGGTCCCTGTGTGGAGGCTATAATGTAAGTTAATACATGTTGCTCAACACTCAAACATACACATACAGAACAATCTTCATTACTCTATTTATTTATTTTTTCAGTGTTTGACCACAGGGCAGAGGAGAGGCCTGTTTTTGATCCAATAGTGAATGGTAAGACGGGGAGTAAATGTTGTACCAAGCAAACATTAACACACACACACACACAACAACACACGGTATGGTACACAGAACAATTATGTTTTTCTCTCTTTCTCTTTCTCTCTCTCTCTCTCTCTCTCTGGTCTCCTAGTCACCGCCATGAGTGACAAAGCTGGAAGCATCTATCTCATCTCTCTGATGGAAACATCATTCAACGGACTTCACTCACATCATCATACTCCAATAATCACGCTGAATTTTCAGTACGCTCCATGCTTTGCAACTGAGCTCAAAATTACTTATGTTTAATCAACAACAATATTTTTTTGCTGATCATGGCCCTCTAGGAGGTCACATTCAACTTGCTTAAATTTCTTATATATTAAACTCGCACTTTAATTAACTTAAATGAAAGCAGATGGATTACGGACAGTGACGTTTGTAAGGTTTAATGTTTTGTTGGGGGGTTTTAATTCTTACTCGCTGTGGGTTTCAGTTGGAGCAAAGGACTGTGTAAAATTTGATGCCTTCTGTGATTAATCTCATTCTGCTCTGGAGGAAGTTTTTTTTTTGTGAGCAAATTAACTTCTTTTATAGTCCAAACAAAACGCCTTGATATCAGCAATACACTGACCTGCATGAGCAACAGTAGGAGGAGAACAGTGACCTTAAATCATTTCAATTGTGGCCACAGATCGGGAAGGGGAGTCAGAAAGTTTTGAGGGGACCGACTACAAGTTGCGTTTTGTTCTTTTAATGGGATTATGCAAAATATCAAATTGTCACCAGTTTTATCTTGCAAATTAGATTTTGTTTGGTGTGGGTAAACAGCAATGCTAAAGCAGTATAAGGAATAATGCAGAAGAATGTTGTATCTCGTCAACACT